GTGAAGCATCTTCCATCATGCATGCAATTTCCCGTAGCATCCTAAGGAGATGTCACGATCTTCACTCAGATACTTTTTGCTCTCGTCGCCATTCATTGCACTCGAAATACTTTCGTGCGATACTTTTGGAGGGAGTCGTTTACTTTCAGTTTTCCGGTTTTGACTATTTTTAGGTCTGCTTTTTTTTCGGCTTCTGCACAAACTATTTCAGTTTTGGTATTTGTTGCAGTTTCCCTTTGTGAAGCATTTGGGGTGGGGGGGGGGGGGAGTTTGCTCGTACTTCCCTTCCCTAAGAGCCCGACAAATGGGAGTGCACCAAGAGATAACTATGGGTAAGCACGGAACGTTGCCAGCATTCCTTTATCAAAGCCTCCTCGAGCTTGATAGCCTAGAAGTGCATTAAATTTCTTGTCAGAGGTTTCACAAAGATGCAGAGGATCCGAACGAGATTAATGGAGCGTGTGAAAAGCCAACTACTGCTGAAATGTAGTGGTAGGGGAAAGTATTAATCTTCAGTTTTGATGGTTTTGTATTCGTTTTTCGGTTTTGATCGAGATCTATTGCGGCTTTCGATTTTTGGCTTATTTTTGAGCGGTTAGTCGGTTTCTTATAGATAACTAAGTCTTCCTCGACTGATAGGTATCCGGCCAGTACTGTATATGTGTCTTAGATTTTCTATCACGCTCTAAAAATCAAAAATCGAAACAAAAGAATCCGAGATTTAAAGAATTAAAATCTAAAGAATACAGCCAAGATACAGGTTTGTACGTTTTCAATACGTACAAGAAGTTATAATTTCAGAGGACAATGTCACTCAAATTTATAAATTTTATTATCGGACCTGAAGGAGACGGCATGTGTTCCTCGAAAGGTCGTCAACATGGAGTGAATATTGTTAAACTACGCGGTCTCCATAGCTATAACTATAGCTCGAAAAACTATACACCTGTCAAACAAAAATTGAAAACATGTGCTTTTGTATTTACTTAAATTAATGAAAACTCGACAACTTTGTTTTTTAGGCACAACAAATCAACAATCAAATCAGACGCTTCCGCGACACTTGAACGATATGACTCTCCCATAGGGGCGTAATTGCAAACGATTGTAGCTTAGGGCGTTTAAATAAAAATGTAATAATAAGAATACCTTAGATGTCTTGACGAGATAAAGCCCTACCTTGCTTCAGTGATCTCCGCGAGCGAGAAAGACCGTAGTCGTTGATGGGAGTTAGTACTTGAATTGTTTACGCGTCATCGTTCTATATATAGCTATTCTTGTCTAGTTGGTATTTACATAGGAAAATTCAGGGAAAATGAGGAAACATGCGTGATTGACGGGTAGTTTTCGGAATACGGTCATCCATTACACTAGGAGCAACCTCCCTCTTTATTTCTTTGTCCGTACTGAGCAGTTCTCAAAAAACAACTAATACTTCAACTTTAGCCCTAGATAAAATTTCACCAATGCACATGCGTCCACTTAAGAGCTCGGAAGCCCCAAAGATATTTACAATTTTTCTTGCTGTCAAACTGACCAAAACCGTTTGAGCATAGGTCATCACCAGTTGGATGGTTTTGGTTCGTAGCAGTCAAAAGTTGCTTAGAACATGCAAGAGAATAAAAAAAAAAAACAAAAACAAGCAAAATATTCTAAGTCCAGGTAGCAAAGGTTCAAAGAGATCAGAGGCGATCAGCCTTAGGGTGGATCGACCCAGTATTTTGCCAGGCACACATTACATCTTTGAATCTCTTATACTTAAACACATTGATCTTTTTTTGTAAAACCATTATAGCACATTTCTTACACATAGACTAAACTTTCGATACCACTTTTTGGGCGATCGGAATAAATATTACGTGACAATGACGTCACGATAGTTTTAGCTCTAAATCGAATTTCCGCCCTTATCAGCATTTTCTTTGGAAATGCTTTACGCTACGCATACTTTAGGTGCTTGTCCTCTGTTGTGCGAAGTTTCACAAGAAGAATTTCGAGATATCTTGGAATTTCTACAGAAAGAGTATAATTCCTGCATGAACTGAAGACTGGACTTAATGCAGACAAATTTGCTACTTCTTGGATTTTACCGAACGTTTTTGTCACCCATTCGTCTTGCAAATGACCCCCTTATACACTCTACAAACCACTAAACACATTAAGTCAAGTAGACTTGCGCGACTTTGAAAAACATGTGAATCAGGGTAAAACGCAATGCTGAGCTCTTTTTTTTTCATTTCCAAGGCTGATTTCACGAAAACATGCGATTAAACCAAAATTCTTCGATTACAGAGGTTCCTTAAAAATTTTCCGATCTGCAAATAATCTGTATACTATACAATCCCCGAATTTCGCGTTTATAGAAAACCTTTACAGTTGTCTAACGCAGGCACAAAATTTAGTTAAATACTGAGGCTGTTGCGCTTATAGACAGGTAGTGAGAAAGCAGGTTGGTTTTCAAGATCTCAAGAACTTTTTTATTAAAAAATTTATCACGGCTATTGAAAATACGAGGTCTGAAATATATTTACGTTTTATTTGAATTCAAACACCCAGAATTTTTTACTTCTCACGGAGGTTATTTGCTAAACACCAAACTTTTAGTTCCTTAAGTGTTGGATTTTTAGTAGTTGGTCTAGATTGCGCAAAATTCGGCTTTTATCAATTTTCATTTTTTTTGTTTATTGTTGTCATAGATTTTAGATAAAAGATTGTTTTGACAAACTTCAATCCATAGTCAATCACCGGCGAAAATTTTATAGCGATCGGACATGGATAAAATCCCTTTTAAGGAGATTGAAAAATATCGGTATGGTCTCCGAAAAACTGTATCGAAACACCTTAAACTTATTTATTTTGCGAAGAGAGCTGACTTTTGAATATGCCAGAGCGACCTGGAACATCTAAGAATCAGGCTATCCACTTCGATTCATAACGATGAGTGTCCATTGGAGTTGAATTTGCATTCGTAAAAAATAACAGGAAAAATCACATTGCTCTTATAATTATTATTTGTTTACACTGACGAAATGTCAACAAGTGTGCCATTTAGATGAAACCCCACTATTTAACAAATCAATGTTGAACTATTGGAAGTTTTTTTATTTATAATTTTTTTCAACAATTGGAAAGAAAGTTTTAGCAAAGGAAATATTTGATACCGATTACCCCTTTTCGTCTTTAGTTTTGCCCGGCCGCCATTCTAACGTCATTGAACGCTATCAGCCCGAAGCAAATTTAAATTAAAAAAATGAAGCATCTCCTGTTTCTAAGAAAGGTTTGGTGGAATATATGTTTAGCAGTCATTTTAGGTCCCTTTTAGGTCCCGTTTTATCTTGGCTCTATTAATCCCCCTGCCCCTCACGTTCATAGTGCCCTTCCGCCAATCAATTTTCATTACTGAAAAGTTAAAATTGAAAACCAGAATTTGTGCTTTTTTTTTATTATTCTTAAACGCGTATTGTTTGTTTAAAAACTAGCAAAATTTTCCTGATTTTTATCAGACCTTCACCAGGAGAAAATTAAAAAATTTAGACTAATTAAGCTATTTTTAAATAATCAATTTGCACTAAATATTAAATAACAAACAGAATTTCTCAGTAATTTTCCCTTTTCAATTTCAATAAATAATTTTAATTTAATTATTATAAATCTAGGGATATTTATATGGAACTTGACATTATTTCTAAGTAGGTAAATTCTTTGGTACCATCATCACATTATGAAATGAAACAGAAAGGAGAAAATTAAAGCAGCCAAGTCGGACACTTGTAAGACGTTTGCTCTTCTTTGTTCCGCGTGTGTGTTCTGTTCTATGGGATCTGATTAAAGCTAAAGGTACAGCATTGACAACTGTTTGTAGAATGTCCCATAGATATTGGATTAGCGGTATTTGGGTATATATTTTGTTAGCATATTGAAGATCAGATGTTTTCTAGAGTAAATTGATATGGTGAAAAAAGCCGCCAAGTTTGTACAGCTGTTTGGGTGGGTCTCTCAGTTTACTGAACAGCTTACTTAACTAATCGGTAGCTCACCCACTTTTACTGCAATTAACCCGAAGAACATTGCAGTCTAAGAAATTTCTTCAAGCGACTTGAACCGACTTTTCTTCATAAGAGGTAATATTTGACTGTCTTTAATTTACCACAAAGTGTCCTCTATTTTAGAAGGACGTGTTTGTTAAACTCTTTAAAAAGTATTGTAGCTTATGGCACGTACGCCACCCGTGAAAATAGGATCACTGCGTATCAGTTATAAATCAGTGATAAGTGCGCTTCGGCGAATGTTAATCAAATCCTTCTTTCTCGCAATCGGTTAATTCTATCCTCACAGACTTTTGACGCGCGCGTTTTCAAACAGAATTTCATTAATTTTGCTTTTCCAAAGCGATTCGTTTTCTTATGATATTAATTAACCAATTGACCACGTTTAGTAAGTTTTTACCGTTTGTACCACTAAAAAATGATCCTAAAATATCTCGATAATGTTTTCATCAAATTTTGCTAATGTTTTACGAACATTGAGGCGGCTCTTGAATGTGCAAACGACCGTGAACGATTGTGAAAAACTAACCGGTTTGTAGTGCCAAAAATTACTACACTAATCATGAAAAGGTTTCATCTTTATCCAACACAGGTGTAGTGGTCACCGTTTTCCGATAACTTTGTTCATGCCTACATAGTTAATGCTCAAGCTTGGGAGATATTTCCCGAAAAAGAAGTCGGGGCACCTTAAAAACAGTGCCACAATTAATGCTACATGCCATGCCATGCAGTGCTACAAGTCACATTACAGATGATGTGTACAGATAGATTTTGTAGAATCTTTTTAAACTCAGTGTCAAGCCGGAGTCGCCCCATGCTCCTAGCAGTAGTCGACTTCATTCGTTTGTTCTATTTTCCGCCCATCGTTAGTTTTACACTATTCCACAGCGTCAGATTCATTTAAACATTATGCTCTTATGGCGTTTTTAATATATATTTCTCTTTATTTTTTAGTTAATTGCAACAAGTACATTGAATGACTGGAATCATGCTTCTTACTCTGTCTTGCTTTTTGGCTGCAGTCTCAGCTCAGATCGTAAGTAAATGTAGGGTTCATACAATTCACTTCGTCCTAACAACCGCGTGCCATATTTCTAAAACGTCCTGATAAATATGAAGTTTTCCATACTTTTTCCTGAATTCAAAACTTTTCTTTTCTCAACATCCTGCAGAGAAGCAACTGATTCACCCAATCGAACGCGTAATGTCGATATCAAGCCTAGCGCTGAATTCTTCTTACGATAAACAGGACATTGTTTGATCCAGAGACGTCATGAGCGAACAGTAACCCGGCCGAGGAACAGTATTTTAAGTTTGGGGAAAATAGCGTACAAAACGCACGGCTATCAGCTAAGGCCTGGGCTCAAAAGTGTATCCCAGCAACAAGAAGCACATGCCCCCTTAACAAAGATATTGCTCCATTCATGCAGAGTCTTTCTCCAATACGCCAAATCGAGCAAGTGAAAGAAAGGCTCTTCTGGCAGAGGGCGTTCAGTAGCGCGAAGGCTTTTTTTCAGTTCGATAACAGCAGAGGCAGTTTTAACTGTTCTCCCACACTCACAAGTCGCACCTCCAATGAGATCAGTGCTCTATCCATGACGTGAAAACGCTTCTCTTAAAATTTTATGTACTTGTTAAGCTTAGAAACTGCAATCCAGTGGTATGGGTCTAAATAGCACCTTTTTCGAGAAATGTTGATCGAAAGTGCCGCGTTCAATTCCTCGCTTGCAAATAACCATCGGACACAACTTTTTACCAGGTTAATGTGTTCCTTTTCAACATTTAAAAATGATGTGAATCTACGCAGTGGTGTCATCATATAATTACTTTGAATATAAGGTGATCCGGGTTTGGGCAAATGAAGTTTCGACAATCTCTGCAGTAGTCGTCAACTTTAACCCTTCAAAGTCCCGGCGGCGAGTGACCAGCATCAATTTTCTCTCAACAGTACCTATAAATAAACAAGAGGAACTGCAGTGAGAATTATTGAAATAATAACGTAAGGGAGAACTCTATGATCTTTTGTCAAATTCTCTCAATTAAGTCTTTAAGTACAGGGTGTCCCAAAAGTTCGTTCCTCTAAATTCATGCACCATAACTTTTGATCAAAACTTTATTTTTACATGAAATTGCTAGAAGATGTTTATTTTCCCATTGAGTACATGTAGTCAGAATTTCAGTAACTAGCATGCCCTTTTTGATTTTTTATCACATTCTGTAGCCCTTGCGGCACGAAGTGGGATACAGGGTGTAGACCCACAGATGATCCATTTTGAGCTTTTTTATCACCTGGTGCGGAAGAGCTAGTTCAACCCCCCAACCAACATTTGTTTAGTTTAGGCAACTGGAAAAAATAGATTTCGGGCATTCATCCAAAAAAGATAATCATCCCGGTTTCCTTCCACAGCAACGTTTTGTACTTCTCTACAACTTGAGACGAGCTGGGCTTTACTTGGCAGACTAAGCAGAGGTTTCTTTATTTGCCATCTCATGGGTCTCTAATTTTAAACATTTTAAACAGCTTTTCGTGACCCTCTCTGGACTTGGCTTGCTAACTATGTGAGAGCTTTCTCGTCGAGTCTCCTTTTTTGTATCTAGCTTTTCTTTAAAACTATTTAGCTGCTTTATTCAGGAGTTTTGGTCTTCCCCTTCATTTCTTGCCTTCAAAACCTTCATTCCTTCATGATCATTTTACCACCCAACATTCGGTATTTTTCCAGTTTTTAGCAGTTTCTACGAAAGATAAGCCAGTAAATAGAAATATAAATGCTCATCCCCCGAAAATAGCTGAACGTTTTTACGTTAAGGGGATTTATCTTTCGTGATATTCGCAAAAAACAAGGAAGGAATTCGAGCAATTCGGGCTATAAAATGCAAAAAAATATGTGGCTGGAAAGAATACTCGGGCACGAACACCTTTGGCGCGGAATTACTCAAATCGAATATTCGAATCAAAAAATAGCAAAACAAGTATGAAAATGGTGAATTAGACTGAAAGACAAATTTTTTTTCAATTATTTGCTTACCAAGTCCAATCGTACTGAAATACAGACTTATATAAAGTAGAGTAGCGAACTTTTGCGTCACCCTGTAAATGTACGGGAATCAGTTTGAAGAATTTGAATGTACTAGATATTTGGGCTTAAAGGGTTAAAAATCAATCCCTTCCATGGATAAAGATAATTAAAAGAGTTTTTTTTACATGTATATTTCATTAGTTGTCATAATATTGATCCTTTAAAAGGAGGAAACTGTGCCACCATCAGCTCACATCGAAGGCGGTAATCCAAGACCTGTGGACTATCCTGAAGATACAGGTGCCTTACTTACAAAATTACTTCCAAACTAATTACTAACTAGTTTGGCGTTATAATTTCACCTCCGGCTCCATATAATAGCGCAACATCCATCCGGAATTCCTATTTTTTTTTTCTGCGCTTAATTCGGTGCCAGACTTTCAGTCAATCAAAATATAACCTTCCGAGCGTCGAAGAGCTTTTAAATGTGAAGTGGTTAGTACAGAGCGTTTTCACAAGGCGTCACGGAGACCATATTGGTGTTCCAAAACAATGAAACTGAGGTTATGTTGGTGTTTTAAACCAATCCCGTGGGAGTTGAACTCTTTTGTCATGTAAACGCTTTCTTTTGCTCCATTTAATTTACATAGGTTCTGGTCACGTGAGTGAAAACACTCTATAGGGATTTAGTACATAAGTCATTGACGAGACGAATGAGCCCGGAGGGGTACTCAACACAGTTTAATACGGGGAGGCTCCACCCTGAGTTTAACCCCCTACCCTAATATACATACAATATACATATCTAGTCTAGAAGTTTGCATCCCTTTTAACTGCTGTTAATCACTGTCTTTTAAATATGAATAAATAAAAAACAGTTCGTTTTCGCGCCTCAGCCATAAAATGCATCTGTTAGCCCTTTTTACAGAAAGAAATAACAGTTTTCACTACTGAATGTATCCTTTCATATATTCAAACTGAAATACCTATTCTTTCATATACACGAAGCTGGAAAAAGTTAGCCCCCTTTAAAGCAGAGCTTCCCCATTTATAGGCCCGTAGGGAGTACCCCCCGGGGGGAATGAGGCAAAAATTTTGGTTCAGTAGGTCTGCGAGAAAAGAGAAAAAACGAACCCTGACAAATTTGGCATGAGGTTGGTCTAGCTGGAGTGGCCAAATATTAAGACTGAATATCTGCCTCACACAGAGACCCTTTCACTCGGCTTATCTATAAAATAGAATTTAATTAGATACTTAACTTTATACTCTTTTACTTTTCTATCCCTCAGCCCCACTTTTTGCGCCGGACTAAACTTCATTTAACTTTTGACGGTTTTCCTAGACAAAACCTACAGCTTGCGTCAGTTTCCAAAGAAAGAATAAGATTCCTATGGTTTTTCTTCGCTTTTTTTCAGTAATTGCATCCTGGAACCCAAACCATCCCAAAAGCCACCTGAAAAACGGGTTTACCTTCGATGGTTCTCATTTGATTGTACCTGCCAGTGGCCTATACTATGTATATGTACAGTTATACTTCAACGCTGAGCCCCAAGCTACCACGAATCGTGTGGGTGTATTCACTGACCAGAGCCTTTTGCTGATGATCCATAAGTCCATGGAACCCAACACGGAGGAAACAGCGACGGCAGGAGGGGTCTTTCAGCTGAATAAAGGGCAGAGAGTATTTGTGAAACCTCTCAAGGGCCTTGGCTCCGTAAAAATGTGGCTTGGACCAAATCACACGTATTTTGGCTTGTTTAAGATTAACTATTAAACAGCTGTTGTTGTTCATTTTCAAATACAGTTATATATTGTATTAAATTCCAATGTGATGTCAAGACGTGAAAAATAAACATATCTTCTGACTCTTCCTTAGAATCTTTTTTCTTGACTTTTCTTATTTTCAAATGCTCCGTGACTATTAACTTTGGCTCTTACCTGAGTAGCTGGCGCTATGGACTAGAAACAACGAGCAACTAATTTCAACCATTTTTTTTGTCTTTTCTCTCATCTTTTTTGCAGCTTTTCTTCCCTCTCGCTAAACAAATCGCTAGCCACTCATTCCGGCTGGCACACGGGATATATGAATTTTACGAGTGGTATATTTTCCAGTAAAACACTCGTGTCTATATAATGAAGAGAGATATAAAAAAGCTTTCTTTTTGTCTTTGTGTTAGCGTCACATTTTATTTTATGCCGTCAATTGGGGCGTTATATGCTTCTTTGGGAACCTTTCTCTGTGATGATGCGTATTACCATACATCAAACTCGATGGATGATCCGATGCGATCATCATTATTCACTGGAAGACTCCTTTCTTCGTCGTGATGACACTGTGAGTTAAAGAATGGTACGTTGGTTGTAATATTAGAATTTCTCTAAAATACAGTCAAACCCCGTTAATACAGACACTGAGGCCATAGGATCGAGGGATCCATGTCGAGGGTCGAGGGTAGCAGATTTTTCCCACTTTTTTTTTAATGAAAAAAAAAAAAAATAAAAAAAAGAAGAAGAAAGAAAAAGAAGGAAAGAAATAAAATCTAAAGTAAAATAAACGAAGAATAGAAAAAATAATAGGATTTTAACGAGTCCCACTTTAAATCTGTTAAGTGTTAGGGGGTGGGGGTGAGTTAAGATAGTAAAATAGCACATAGACATCCTTCCCAAAACAAACCAAATACCTTTAGAACTCACATAAGTCCATATTTGATTATAAATATGCTTAGACTTCTCGTGTTACTGTATTATTACCACAAAAACAAAAAAGATCGACAAAAGCGAAATAAACTGTTTCACAACATGGGAGTGTCATCCAACTGTCTCTGGACAATAAAATTTGGCTTCAGTAACACCTAAGTTCATTTATCAAATTTGTCTCCCGACGAAAAACGTTGATTAGAAAAAATGTTTTCTGTTTTCTGTTTTGAAATCTAATGGCATTCTGCGATATCAAGGATGTAGAACTGGTCGTCAAAAGATCCCAGTAAGTATTTCTTACCGTCCTGATAAAGCTTACTCATACAAAAATTCAATTTCTCGGTCACTTGTCCATGTTCCTATTGTCTCTGTCGAAAACCCGGATGAGTTTCTTTACTCGAATTACTCGAATCCATGGGTCTACAACAGCATGCATGTTGTCACTCTATGAATCAGAACATACCTTGGATTTAATTACTACTTAGCCATGTGATTCGGTTCTTTCAAGTGTTCCTGTGTCCGACTACTTTCTTTCTGATGATTGTTCGTTATTATGTATCCTTACAGTGAGTAAACCGACTCCTCCGACTAAATCAATATCTCACAGGAAAATCAAAGCTATTGATTTACAAGTATTATGTTCGAATTATGTTATGAAATGTCCTCAATCATAACTATGCTAGGACAGTCCTAACACGCTGAACGACCTTGTAAAATGTTACATTCTAACTCTGGCTTCTATCATTCATCGTCAAGCCCCATTACTGACCAAGAAATTTACAGTCAGACCTCTTGTGACTTGGTTCAATAATGACATTAAGAAACCACGTAGGGAGAGACGGCAAACGGAAATAAGATGGCGTCGTACTCGTAGCGCCCCTGATCTTAAAGGAAATTTAAAGAAAGGAAGAATCACACAAAGCATCTGATGACCAAGGCAGGTTGTAAGTTTCTCAAGGACTTTATTGATAGGAACAGTTCTAATCAAAAGGATCTATTCCTGGCTACAAAAGAGGCTCTTGAAACAAGATCACGAGGTTCCTTCTCCACTGTTTAAGGATAAACGGACATTTGCTAATCAGATTGGGAAGTTTCGTTGTTGAGAAGAATAAAACGATTCATTTTAAGCTTGGTGGATTATCGTCAACGGATTACCCTAAAAAAATAAACCCAAATTACCTATGCGAGGGAAATAGACAGAAGAAACTTACCTCCACTGCGCTGTCTACGGATTCTTAAACAGCCGCCATCTTGAGTTTTGCATGTTTTCTCGACCCAGTCTTTTTTCAGTCTCGCCCAATTCGTTTTTAGCCACCAACCAACAGGCCGTTAGAAGATGGATGATCGGTAAGTGTGAGTTGAATATTAATAATTTTAATCCTTTCTGACTGGAGAACTCGAGATCATAGAGATTATCAGTGAAGATGATGAAAATGACCCCCCCGCCCCAACCTCCCACGACAAAAACAGTGAATTCCTAGGTTCCGCGCTTGCATCATTTGTGAAATACGTGCCAACTGATGGTAGCTCAAATTTCATAAAATCATTCAATGGACGGAGAATTAATACCAAGAAACCCACGAGAGGAGACGGAGCCTAATTTGGAAGTAGCCATCTCGCCTAGAAGTCCCTAGGCCTCAATCTCTTACGTACAAGATCGACACGTACTGGGCACGACGTTAGGTTGCAATAATAACGACTGGGTCCACGATGGCGGCTGTTTATCGCGTAGGAACGCAGGTCAGAGGTTTAATGTATTCTCGTTCCCCCTGTAAAAAGTGAACTTGATTGGTTTTCAATCTAATATTTAGGGTGTTCCGTAGGGGTACTCCGTAGGGTAGTCCGCGGAGTGGGATCAGTGGGGAATCCGAGGACATGGGGTCAGTGTTTTTGACTCACTCGTCTCGTAATCCTGTTTTTTTTTTTCATAGTTTCCCATATCTTTCCTTAAGTTTTATGAAAACTGGTTTCAGCAAATCCCAAGGGATTAAAAAAGCTTTGCTACCATTGGATAGCACTTGTCTAATCTAGTCAATGCGGTCTCAAGGGAAATACACAAAGATAGGAGATGCCCTTGGCATCCCCTGAGAACATCCTTCATTGAACTACCAAAACGGTCAGTGTAAAACGAAGACTGCGGACTGCAGACTGCAGACTGCGGGGGTAAAATGCAGACTGAGTGTAAAATGCAGACTGCAGACTGAGAGTAAAACGCAGGCTGGGTGCAAAATACAGAATAAAGACTGTAGACATTTTTAAACATTTGTGCTCCCTCTTCTCCAAATCGGTGAATCAGCTAGCCGGTACCAGTTACACACTTCGCTTCCTAGTCGAAGTGCATTGCACATTCAGTATTTTGGGTCAGCAGCTTTCATTTAAGCGTAAACATCGTGGTGTTGCACCAATTCACGGTCCCTGGTCACGTATATCGAAAACTTCGCATCTAAAGTTGATGAAGCGTGAAGTCTCTCGGACGGAAAAAAAGGTTCAAGATTGCGATTATGTTTTCGGGTCGTCGATGACGTTCCAGAGAAGAAAGGAATGGATTTGTAAAAGCAGATGTCGTCAAGTAAGCGTTCGTTTACATGTATTAGCGGCATTTTCTGCCCTTAAACCCTTCCACGATTACAGTTTATGCTCGGTCTGCATTTTACCCTAGCCTGCGTTTTACTCTTAGTCTGCAGTCCGCATTTTACACAGTCTGCATTTTACCCCTGGTCCGCAGTCTGCAGTCCGCAGTCCGCAGTCTTCGTTTTACACTGACCGGCTACAAAAATAAGGAACTTCACTTATGTAGTGGTTTATCAAAATGCTACAAATTCTTAATCTTTCAATTGCATCTGAAAAAATTGTCATCCCCCCTTCCTGCTTTCAGAACTTTCTACCATCTCCCCTTTTCCCTTCAAAAAATTTTAACTGACCAGCCAAAATCCTCTTATACCCATTCCTCTCCCCCTCTTCCTGTGGTATACACATTGAATGCAGCCTTATAAGAACGCAAATTTATTTCTCAAAACCACTTAATGGATGATTTACAAAGTACTTTTCTTATATTATCTGGTCATGGTGTATTCGAATTCTCCGGTCACTAATCAGTAATGATAACATAACAAAAGTAAATCGCGCGCTCTGATTGGTCAGCTAGCCACTACCATCTGCCCGTGGGTGCACGCCAAGAAACTGAGCTAGCGCGGTAAAATATATTTAGGCAGATTCAACAAATCTCCTCTCCTGACGATAAAATACACCGGTGAAATGCGCAGATGAAAAGTGGAAGTTGAAGAAAATACTAAGCTGTCGTTTTGAAGGAAAAAAGACAAAAGATCAAGCAACAAATTTGCCCTGGATCTGGATGAATTAATCACTGTTTTCCTCGAGGCAACAATCGGCTGGACGAAAATCGAGCGAGCGAGTGTGTTTTTTATAGACGATAAAGTCTGTTTGAAATGTAAATTTATCAATTAGCATTGTGTTGTTGACTTTTTGGTCAAGCTGATGCTAAGTTCAAGCAAACATTTTAGGAAACACGCTCAAATTCGAGTCAGCTTTGTTGTGAAGTTTTCATGGCATCGATTAAAAATTTTAGTTGAGTTTAAACGGGCACATTACGATGGAATAAGCGAATTTCATTTGAGTACAGAAACATTTAGGTTCTCAAATAAATTTTTCAAAAAATAACTTCTGTGTGTATTATTTTGTTCCTCAGTGTTCAATCATAACAGTCGTTTAGTGAACGGTCGAAAAACAACAGCTTCATGATCAGCGCCGGCTGTGTGTCGGCAAATTTCAGTTACAACTTTGACTTTCATAGCTGGATTTCCCCAGACAGATTTCGATACAAAGCTAGTTAATTTCTTTTTAAAATTAGTGTTACCTGTTATTCTAAAGGAATTACAGTCAAATTTTCTCATTTCTACTTTTCGTTTAGTTAAAAAATTGTCACATAAATAAGCTTGATAATTATTTCATTTACTTTAGTTTTAGCTTATTTTTTAGAGTCTTTTTAGTTCGTGTTTATAGTTGCAGCTATAGTTTTCCCTCTAAGTTTTTACCCTAATATTAAGAACAAGTAGACAGATGCCATTCAGAATAACAACGAAAAACGTTTTGCAATTTACCTGAAGACAGAGAACCGTTGATTCAGCGAAAGAAAAACTCAAAGGGGCGGGCAGATGGCAGCATTCATGAACTCGGACTGATGACTCAACCGAAGGCAAATGAAAAATAATTTTGTTCTCTTTTGATTATGTTATAAAAGAAATGGAAAACGTTGCAGCTGTGCAACCATGGAGTTATGGATGCACTTGGGAGGTTTGCTAAGCACTCAAGAAGCTAGAGTCGCACGGCTCTTACGCTTCTTTCGTGCTTAGCAACCTCCCGTGTGCATCCATAACTCCATGGTTGCACGCTGCACGTTTACCATTTCTTAAATCTGAGAACATTCTTCCCGCTACAAAGTATCCAAGTATTCACACTTTTGGATGTAGCTTAAACGGCAAAGCGATTAGGGTACCCGGCAAAATTACCTGATTCATCAAGGGCTTGAAAAGATCTTATTTAAATGATGGACGTTTCTAACGTCAGTAAACAAAAATAAAATCACTGTTGTACGACTACCAGTTCTTCGGATATGATAAAAGTAAAATAAAACTTGAAAAATGTTCCCTCTTTTGGTTCATCTTTTATTTACTTACGTTGTTTACATACATACATGTACATAATACATTACTTACATATATGACCACTGTAGTCATGTATAATCATGTAACGTTTCTTAAGAGCCATTTTCCGAGAAAATCGAAAATCGCAAGACACTCGTAAAAAAATCGAATTTTTTTTTCTTTTGGCAAAACATCCCTTTTAGTGACCTAATTCAAGAAAAAATAGTTTTGGGTTCAAGCGATTCATTGTACGGGAGAAATAACAAAAAGTTTGAAAAATCGATTTATTGCTGGTTTTTCGCGCTTAAAAACAACAGAATCCGACCTCAACTTCGAGAAAACGTTGAACGCATAAGAAACAATCCCTAACATCGAAACTTCAGGCGAATATTATTTCGTTCTTAATCTTTAAATCCCTAAAAGAAAATTTGAAGAAATAAGTTTTTTAGATTTACAATCGACAAGTTTAAAGAGGACATATTTGTGTCTCTTGAAATGTTAGAAAATGAAAGCGAACTTTAACTGTTGTAAAAGCCCTCTGGTATATGCCGCTTCCTAGTAAAACCCATATAGAATAAAGCCTTAGCTATTGAAGTAAATTACGGGAACGTTTTAGCTCTGAAAATTAAATACAGCCCTGACACTAGAGTAAGCAATTTGAGAATTTAATTTAATAAAATTTATGCAAATTAGACGGCCCGCTGAAGGAATTCATACTAAACGCAAAGTTTAGTGTAAAAGGACTACTTACTGTTGCTTGTATTATGTTTTTACAGTGAAAATGTTATTTCTAGCTTTCAGCTGTGTTGGTAAGAGCCGTAAATAACTTTTTATATGACGACTGAAAAACGTTTGTTCAGCCACATTGCTACCAGCGAAATCATTGAGATCGCAACTTCGAACTGAAAGTGTCATCGCTTGATGAAACTCCGTTACCACAACGGTAGAATAATTTTCTTCAGGGGGGAAAAGCAGAATTAAAATGCATTCAAAACCGTTGACTTCGATTTTGAATTTGTTTAGTTAAGATTTCAAGCCACCACAAGGTCTTATGACCTCTACTGACCCAGAAATCGGATACATATGCCAAGGTCATGTTAGCAAACTGTCACGAAATACTCAATAGCTTCTGTTTTCGGTCTTTGTTTTGTTGGTAAAAAAATGCATACACTTTTCACAGAACAGACCTTCTTGCTTTATTTGATTTATATATTTGTATTGGTCCAGACACATGCATATGCTGACTGGCTGTAAAAGACATTCATCAC